AGATAATACTTTATTCATGTGCTTACATATATTTCCATCTTTAGAATTGCCACCAAAAAGGTGACAGCCAGACCTCTGGAGATCCTCAGCAGATCTTCTCCTGTGTCTTAGATAGAGAATTCCAGGATCCAAAATGACTGCTCGGTCACTTCCGGTTTCTCTGTGCGTCTGACATCACGTCCCTTGATGCGTTCCGTCATTGGACTTAAACATGATTATGACTTATGATTAAGTCCAATGATGAAACAAGTCAAGGGAAGTAACGTCAGACGCACAGCAGAATCGGAAGTGACCAAGCGGCCATTTTGGATCCTGGAATTCTCTATCTAAGACACAGGAGAAGATCTGCTGAGGATCTCCAGAGGTCTGGCTGCGATAGTTCCTTTCTGGTGGCAATTCTAAAGATGGAAATATATGTAAGCACATGAATAAAGTATTATCTGTCTATTTTATATGGATTTACACTATTGTTTATTCATATATATGGCGGGCATCGTTTGGAGACTGGTGTGGAGAGAGGAGTATATCTCTGTGGCTGTGAAGATCCCCCTGGTGGAGCTTATTATACAGGTGAAACTAAAAAAATTAGAATATCGTGCAAAAGTTAATTTATTTCAGTAATGCAACTTAAAAGGTGAAACTAATATATGAGATAGACTCATTACATGCAAAGAAAAATAGTTCAAGCCGTGATTTGTCATAATTGTGAGGATTATGGCTTACAGCTCATGAAAACCCCAAATCCACAATCTCAGAAAATTTGAATATTACATGCAATCAATAAAACAAGATTGTACATAGAACAATATCGGACCTCTGAAAAGTATAATCATGCATATGTACTCAGTACTTGGTTTGGGCCCCTTTTGCAGCAATTACTGCCTCAATGCTGCGTGGCATGGAAGCTATCAGCCTGTGGCACTGCTGAGGTGTTATGGAAGACCAGGATGCTTCAATAGCGGCCTTCAGCTCTTCTGCATTGTTTGGTCTCATGTCTCTCATCTTTCTCTTGGCAATGCCCCATAGATTCTCTATGGGGTTCAGGTCAGGCGAGTTTGCTGGCCAATCAAGCACAATAATCTCACAGTCATTGAACCAGCTTTTGGTGCTTTTGGCAGTGTGGGCAGGTGCCAAGTCCTGCTGGAAGATGAAGTCAGCATCCCCATAAAGCTTGTCTGCAGAAGGAAGCATGAAGTGCTCCAAAATCTCCTGGTAGACGGCTGCGTTGACCCTGAACTTAATGAAGCATTGTGGACCAACACCAGCAGATGACATGGCTCCCCAAATCAACACAGACTGTGGAAAGTTCACACTGGACTTCAAGCATCTTGCAGTGTGTGCCTCTCCATTCTTCCTCCATACTCTGGGTCTTTGATTTCCAAATGAGATGCAAAAGTTGCTCTCATGAGAAAAGAGGACTTCGGACCACTGAGCAACAGACCAGATCTGTTTTTCTTTAGCCCAGGTAAGACGCTTCTGACGTTGTGTATTGTTTAGGAGTGGCTTGACAAGAGGAATACGACATTTGAAGCCCATATCCAGGATCCGTCTGTGTGTGGTGGCTCTTGATGCACTGACTCCAGCCTCAATCCACTCCTTGTGAAAGTCCCCAACACTTTTGAAGGGCCTTTTATTGACAATCCTCTCCAGGCTGCGGTCATCCCTGCTGCTTGTGCACCTTTTTCTTCCACACTTTTCCCTTCCACATAACTTTCTATTAATGTGCTTTGATACAGCACTTTGGGAACATCCAACTTCTTTTGCAATTACCTTTTGAGGCTTTCCCTCCTTATGGAGTGTGTCAATGATGGTTTGTAAGACTTTTGTTTAACCAGTACAGTTTTTGACCAAAAATACAATACAAATACATCACATTACTTCAGATTGTTATTCTGTCATACGAGAATTTTTGTAACTTTAGTTACGAGACTAGCATGCAAAATAAAAGGGACGATCATTCGTCCGATATTCTCAGCATGTACACGGGGGTTTTACTTTGCTGCAATCCAATTGTGATCTAATTTTCAGTGCAGTTATGTATAGTAACATGGATGCTGCTTTGATGCTACTTTGAAGTGGTTTGCATATCCTGTGGGGCCAAAATCATGCTGGAATCTCACCAAAGTAGTACAGGAACCTTTTTAAAAATTGCACCATGCTGAATTGCATTGATGTGAACAGACACCATTGAAAACAATGCGATTTCCATTGTCATGTGATTCTGTGCAACTGAAATAATTCGCATTTGTGTGAACAAAGCCTTAGAATTTATAGGTGAACACTGTAAACTGATGATGTTCGCTGATGATATTCTTCTGCATTCTGCACATCTACTCTCCCCATACTACCCTACCAAATTTATTTACTAGCCTTTCAACTTTTGTAGCCATCTCCAATCTTCAGGTTAACCCCTTGACGCCGACGGCACACAAATATGCAGCCTCACGGAACTGGGCTTTTTTCCGTGGGGTCGCATATTTGCGTACCTGTCTTTGTGCTGGGAGCACGCTGCTCTGCGCGCTCCCAGCACAGAGACTGCAGTGTCACTGAAAGCCCCGGGTCCCGTCCTAACGATCGGGACCCGGGACTCCTGATTCCGGGTCACGTGAACGCTGTGATAGCCTCTGATTGGCTATCACAGTGATCAGTCACTGTGCGGCCCGGCCCTCTTGTTTTTTGTCTCTCTATGAATGCAGAAGAGAGAGATACATTGTATCTCTCTAACTCCTGGCATAGAGAGATAAAAAAAATGTTTTGTACAAAAAAAAGATAAATAAATATTAAAAAACAAAAGAAAAAAATAAAGAAAAATACCTAGATCAAGGTTTGATCTAGTTCAGGGTTAGTGTTTGGGTCAAGTTCAGGGTCAAAGGTCAGGATTAAAAAAAATTGGTGTCAGTTAATGTTAGTGTCAGTGTGTTTTAGGTGAAAAAAAAAAAGACAAAAACAAGATGCGCACTATTGTTTCTGGGCTGTACTACGGGTACAAGCAACAAATAGCATACACATATATGTTATCGCTGCGATCGTCAAGAGCTGGAGAATTTATTTTGGGTTGTTCTATAGAGGTAGGTTATGGTAATAACAAGAAAACACAGCTAAATAAAAAAAACAATTTTTTTTACTATTTTGAGCCAGTTTTCCTTTGATAATAAAAAAAAATTAGGAGCTATCCATTACCATTTACCACCAAATGAAAGCCCAATTTGTCCTGGAAAAAAACGCAGTATAATACACCTGGATGTACAAAGTAGTTGTGATGATATGTATGGTTTTACTAACACATGTCAACGTTGCAGAATTGTGCTTAGGCATTTAGATTTATGATTTTTAGATAATGAGGTAAAATCCAAAGCCCTAAATTTAAATCCAAATCTCTGTCTTCTCCACGATTCAAGAAACTTACAACTTTATATCTGGTCGAAATCTTTGCCTTACTTAGGTATTAATCTTATGTCTTCTTGTGACTCACTATATAAAGTTAGTTATCCCCCCTTTTAAAGAGATTGTTACCCTCCTTGCCTACACTACCACTATCTTGGTTTGACAAGATCCACTCACTAAAATGACTTCCTTGTCTAGACTGTAGGGTCCTCCCAATTCTGATCCCCAGCCATATAATGTGCATTACACAAAGGAAAATTTGGAATTTTATCTGTCACTACCATAGGCCGAGATTTGCAGCTGTGATATCATCGCAGGTTGGTAGATGGCCTAGCGGTACCAAATGTAAAACAGTATTACGCTACAACCCAAATCACACCACTGCCATTACTGCATGCTACTTATGAATTACCTCTTTGGACCCATCTTGTCAAAGTTAGATGCAATCCATCTCATTATCTATAACGTAATATGACTACTTCCTCATTCTAGCCCCCCCCCCCCTTCAATATGCAATCCCATTATACAGCACTCCCTAAAGCAATGGTATCCTGTGAAATACTCTACAAATTTGATTTCATCTAACTTTCCTCTCTTCGGTTATAATGCCTTATTTCTTCCTGCGCATAAGAACCCACAAGTTTTTAGGCAGTAGCAATTTTTCTGGATTCAAGTATACATTATGATTTTGGCAGTCCTGAGCCACAACCCGATATGAAACCCATGGGAAGCTTTTTGTCAGGGCTCCCGGGTGTGACCAGAGGTGTGTGACTGACGCAGGGAAACGCAGACTTCAGATATGTTCTAAACAATGTAATTTATTAACACTAACAATACAAACATAAACGCAGTGCAATACTAAAACATAACACAGTGCAAACAAACCAAACCAACCACCCACAGATAACAGTACATACAATGCAAGCGTCGTCAGGCAGGCCGGGTCAATATCAATCAGGCAGGTAGGTACAGGGGGAGCAAGCGGAGAATGGTCGGGGTCACAAGCCAGGTTCAGCAGGTCGCGGGCAGCGTGGTACAGAGGGTCAGGCAGTGGAGAATGGTCAGACAAGCCAGGGATCAGAGCAGGGTCAGCAGAGAATCAGACAGGAACAGGAAACAGGGCCCAGGAGAAACACAACACCAAGGCAGAGTCTGCAGGTCTGAATGTCCCTTAAATACATCAGTATAATTAGTTCCAGGTGTTTGACTGGCTGCAAGGTTGAGTCTCTGATTGCTGGGAGCACCCGCTGGCCAGCCCTGGTACTGCAGCTCATAAGGCAGGTGAGTGCCACTATTGAGCTGGCCAGTCCATTCCTGACAGTACCCCCCCTCAAGGAGCGGCCTCAGGACACTCCAACAGTCCTAGCTGGGCAAAATGTTCCACCACCCGGGTCTGGTAACTGGCGGGATATCAAAGACTGGCACACCGGGCAGCGGCACACCGGGCAGCGGCACATCGGGCTGGACTCCGGGCAGCGGCACATCGGGCTGGACTCCGGGCAGCGGCACATCGGGCTGGACTCCGGGCAGCGGCACATCGGGCTGGACTCCGGGCAGCGGCACATCGGGCTGGACTCCGGGCAGCGGCACATCGGGCTGGATCCGGGCAGAGGCACATCGGGCTGGACTCCGGGCAGAGGCACATCGGGCTGGACTCCGGGCAGAGGCACATCGGGCTGGACTCCGGGCAGAGGCACATCGGGCTGGACTCCGGGCAGAGGCACATCGGGCTGGACTCCGGGCAGAGGCACATCGGGCTGGACTCCGGGCAGAGGCACATCGGGCTGGACTCCGGGGGCAGAGGCACATCGGATTACCAGGCGGGAGCAGCAGGCGACAGGCGTCGGCCCCACAGGTGGGGCGACGGGCGTCGGCCCCACAGGCGGGGCGACGGGCGTCGGCCCCACAGGCGGGGCGACGGGCGTCGGGCCCCACAGGCGGGGCGGCGACGGGCGTCGGGCCCCACAGGCGGGGCGACGGGCGTCGGGCCCCACAGGCGGGGGCGACGGGCGTCGGGCCCCACAGGCGGGGCGACGGGCCCCACAGGCGGAGCGACGGGCGTCGGGCCCCACAGGTGGAGCGACGGGTCTCGGGCCCCCGGCGGAGCGACAGGCACCGAGTCACCAGGCACGACAGCGGGCACCGAGCCGTCTGGCAGGACTGCGGGCACCGAGCCGTTCTGGCAGGACTGCGGGCACCGAGCCGTCTGGCAGGACTGCGGGCACCGAGCCGTCTGGCAGGACTGCGGGCACCGAGCCGTTCTGGCAGGACTGCGGGCACCGAGCCGTCTGGCAGGACTGCGGGCACCGAGTCAACAGGTATGACAGCGGGCACTGGGTCACCAGGCATCAGATCGTCTGGCTCGACAGCGGGCATCGGGTCACCAGGTATGACAGCGGGCACTGGGTCACCAGGCATCAGATCGTCTGGCTCGACAGCGGGCATCGGTGTCACCAGGTATGACAGCGGGCACTGGGTCACCAGGCATCAGATCGTCTGGCTCGACAGCGGGCATCGGGTCACCAGGTATGACAGCGGGCACTGGGTCACCAGGCATCAGGTCATTTAGCTCGCCAGCGGGCACCGCGTCATTCTGGCTCGACAGCGGGCACCGGGTCATCGGGTACCGGATTGTCTGGCTCGACAGCGGGCACCGGGTCATCAGGTACCGGATTGTCTGGCTCGACAGCGGGCCACCGGGTCATCAGGTACCGGATTGTCTGGCTCGACAGCGGGCACCGGGTTCATCAGGTACCGGATTGTCTGGCTCGACAGCGGGCACCGGGTCATCAGGTACCGGATTGTCTGGCTCGACAGCGGGCACCGGGTCACCAGGCCTAATAGGATCGTCAGGCTGAGTACAGGCTTCAGGCTGAGTACAGGCTTCAGGCTGAGTACAGGCTTCAGGCTGAGTACAGGCTTCAGGCTGAACCACGGAAGGCAGGTTCTCAGACGGCAGGTTCACCGGTTTGGATTACTGGCAGGATGGTATTGGTTGGAAAGAATTTTCGCTTTTTTCTGGTTTTAACTACTGGAGCACTGCAAGTAAATGCAGGTCTGTCTGCAAACGAATGGAGCAGCTGGAGACAGAGAAGAGCTGGAGGATGGAACAGGGGAGGGAGCAGTTGCTACAGAGGGCTTTTTTACAGGGTTAAAGGCAGGATATTGGGTGCAGCGAGTGGGAACAGGGTACTGACATTGCGTGGGGTAGATAGCAGGGCAGGCAGAGGAGCTGTTGGGAATGCAGGAATAGAGCTTTGAGGAAATAGATTAGAAGCAGGACTGGGTTTTTGTAAGCTGACTGAGGCTGGGTGCAACAAATCTGTATGGGGAAAGAACAAAAAGAGGGTGCACAGGCCTAGTGCATTTACCATAAAAAATGTTTAATAAAAAATAATAAAGTAGGTGTTGTACTCACAAACGACAATATAGTCAAAAGCACATCATAAAAAGAACAGCTGGATCAACACCGTGCTGAGTAAAACAGTCCGCAATAGGGAGTTTAGACATCCAAAAGGCTGACGCGTTTCGAGGACTTGCCTCTTCCTCAGAGCCAACTGACCAAATGTCTGCTCCCTCTTTTATATGCTCACTACTAGTTAAACCAAAGGTCACATGGGCCGTCCTGGACACTCCCCTGTGCAGGTGGAGGAGTCCACAGGGGCAATCGACATAGTGTAAGTAAACACGAAAGGTCTATAAAAAAAAATCTATATATATACAGTCATGGCCGAAGGGGCCGATTGTTGGCACCCTTGATATTTCTCCAGGAAATCATGTATTTCTCACGAAACGTATTGCATTAACACATGTTTTGCTATACACATGTTTATTCCCTTTGTGTGTATTGGGACAAAAAAACAAAAAAAGGAGGAAAGAAAGCAAATTCGACATAATGTCACACAAACCTCCCAAAAATGGGGCTGGACAAAAGTATTGGCACCCTTTCACAACTGCGGATAAATAAGAATGTTACAAGCATGTGATGCTCCTGTAAACTCACCTGGGGCAAGTAACAGGTGTGGGCAATATAGAAATCACACCTGAAAGCAGATAAAAAGGAGAGACGTTCACTTAAACCTTTGCATTGTGTGTCTGTCTGTGCCACACTAAGCATGGACAACAGAAAGAGGAGACGAGAACTGTCTGAGGACCTGAGAACCAAAATTGTGGCAAAATATCAACAATCTCAAGGTTACAAGTCCATCTCCAGAGAACTAGATTTGCCTTTGTCCACAGTGCGCAACATTATCAAGAAGTTTGCAACCCATGGCACTGTAGCTAATCTCCTGGTCGTGGACGGATGAGGAAAATTGATGAAAGATTGCAACGCAGAATAGTCCGGATGGTGGATAAGCAGCCCCAACATGTTCCAAAGACATTCAAGCTGTCCTGCAGGCTCAGGGAGCATCAGTGTCAGCGCGAACTATCCGTCGACATTTAAATGAAATGAAACGCTATGGCAGGAGACCCAGGAGGACCCCACTGCTGACACAGAGACATAAAAAAGCAAGACTACAGTTTGCCAAAATGTACTTGAGTAAGCCAAAAGCCTTCTGGGAAAACGTTTGTGGACAGATGAGACCAAGATAGAGCTTTTCGGTAAAGCACATCATTCTACTGTTTACCGAAAACGGAATGAGGCCTACAAAGAACAAAAACACAGTACCTACGGTAAAAATATGGTGGAGGTTCAATGATGTTTTGGGGTTGTTTTGCTGCCTCTGGCACTGGGTGCCTTGACTGTGTGCAAGGCATCATGAAATCTGAGGATTACCAAAGGATTTTGGGTCGCACTGTAGGGCCCAGTGTCAGAAAGCTGGGTTTGCGTCCAAGATCCTGGGTCTTCCAGCAGGACAATGACCCAAACATACGTCAAAAAGCACTCAGAAATGGATGGCAAAGAAGCGCTGGAGAGTTCTGAAGTGGCCAGCAATGAGCCCAGATCTAAATCCCATTGAAACACTGTGGAGAGATCTTAAAATTGTGTTGGGAAAGGTTGTTCCTTCCAATAAGAGGAGACCTGGGAGCTGTTTGCAAAGGAAGAGTGGTCCAAAATTCCGGGTGAGAGGTGTCAGAAGCTTATTGATGGTTTATAGGAAGCGACTGATTTCAGTTATGTTTTCCAAAGGGTGTGCAACCAAATATTAAGTTAAGGGCTTGCCAATACTTTTGTCCAGCCCATTTTTGGGGTTTTGTGTGACATTATGTCATATTTGCTTTTCTGCCTCTGTTTTATATTTGTTCCAATACATACAAAGGGAATAAACATGTGTATAGCAAAACATGTGTTAATGCAATACCTTTTTTGTGTGAAATACTTGATTTTCAGGAAAAATATCAAGGGTGCCAACAATTTCGGCCATGATGTATATATATATGTGTGTATAAATAAAACCATTGAAACTAGTGACAATCATAAAATCATATGAAACCCTCCATAAGAAGTGTGCACAGTGAAAATGAATAAATGAATGGAAAGTTACCACATATATAAAAATAATAAAAAATCCTTCACCTGGTGATGCACTGCACTGCTCGCCTTTAAATAAATGGATGGGGTATGAGCAATGCTACGAAGCTGCCTAGTGCTCTGCTTGCCATAGACAACCATGGGACATGGATTTAAATTAGAGAGTAGATCTGAAACCCAGCAGAGACACTTATTAACTTTTTTTTATAGAGATGCAGCCTACAGGGTGTGTGCCTCTCATTCTAGTATAGTCATATGATGAGACGTAGGCATGTGTGGCAATGTAGTGCACCATGGATGGATATGCATATGCAATACTATATACAAGAACAAAGGAGATAAAATCTCTCTTAGTACCTGTGGTGAACATGTGGAATAAACGCTCCAGAAAGTAATCCACATCATCCTCTAATAACCATACCAGGGACTCTACCTGGTCGGCACTAAATGGCGGCAAAAATTCATCCCTGCATTCAGGGGTACCAGATGAAACCAACTCCGCACAAATCTGAATCAATGGCTGCACCTCAGAGAATTCTGTGCCCTGATCTACTAGAACATGAGCGAGCCGTATACATTCTAGTAGTTGATCCCGGGGATACTCCTTCAGAGTTTGATAAGCATACTCTCTGTCATCAAACACTAGCAGATATAAATACACAACCTCATCAAGATCCATCCTTCCCAGCAACAAACCAAGATGGCTTCCCTGTGCAGCCACTTCTGGTCAGGATTGGCCTTGGTGTAATGTCAGGGCTCCCGGGTGTGACCAGAGGTGTGTGACTGACGCAGGGAAACGCAGACTTCAGATATGTTATAAACAATGTAATTTATTAACACTAACAATACAAACATAAACGCAGTGCAATACTAAAACATAACACAGTGCAAACAAACCAAACCAACCACCCACAGATAACAGTACATACAATGCAAGCGTCGTCAGGCAGGCCGGGTCAAAATCAATTGGGCAGGTAGGTACAGGGGGAGCAAGCGGAGAATGGTCGGGGTCACAAGCCAGGTTCAGCAGGTCGCGGGCAGCGTGGTACAGAGGGTCAGGCAGTTGAGAATGGTCAGACAAGCCAGGGATCAGGAGCAGGAGAATGGTCAGACAAGCCAGGGATCAGAGCAGGGTCAGCAGAGAATCAGACAGGAACAGGAACAGGAAACAGGGCCCAGGAGAAACACAACACCAAAGCAGAGTCTGCAGGTCTGAAGGTCCCTTAAATACACCAGTATAATTAGTTCCAGGTGTTTGACTGGCTGCAAGGTTGAGTCTCTGATTGCTGGGAGCACCCGCTGGCCAGCCCTGGTACTGCAGCTCATAAGGCAGGTGAGTGCCACTATTGCTGGCCAGTCCATTCCTGACACTTTTCTACATACGCTAGTTTACCAAACATGAGTGGATACTAGTGGAGTCTGTTTCTTATGTTGGCTAAAGCTTGGGAACAAGCAGCTATCAATCTTACAGAGATGAAAGGACTGAAGGAAAGAGTACTGAAATACTCAATACTCATTCTAAATTTAACAAAATCTGGTCTCTCTGGTTGGATTTTCATATTCATACAAACCTTGATCACTCCCTTCTTTTGATTTAAAGGATTTGTTTTGGCCATACTGAGTTCTGCACTCCTGTGACCCAAATTTCAAAGCCCATTGTTAGCTAATGACACAGAGCCAGTCCAGGCTCTGCAGGGATCCCAAAAATAATGTCAGGATCTGCCCTGATGCCTGACTCGCAGCTGACTAAGACTCTCAATGGGTCGCTGAGATCCCAAGCCAGCTGCTCCCCCTCCTCCACAGCTCAGCGCAGAATTGGAGGGACAGAGCAGAGAACAGTGACTGAGAGTCACCACTCTGTGCTCAGTGCAAACCCAAGAACTGACCAATCAGTGGTCTTTGATCTCTCAGTTGAGTACAGAGCTGGTAGGGGAGAGCTGCATCATCATATTGATGCTGTAGCCATCTAGGCAAGCATGAATGTTTGGGGGGGGGGGGGGTTATTCTTATGCTTCTCTTTTAACTATTTTCTAAAGGATTGGAGCAGTTAACCCCTGACAGGTGGGATCTCCTATCCTTAATCTCCCCCACTTGAAATCAACCCTATTCCCTAACTGCTTCCCTCTCCACCATTGTCCCGTACCCACATCTCTCTCTCTCTCTATGCTTTCCCTCTTATTTTTTCCTTTGTACTTTCTACCCTTCATTATCTCTCTTGCCTATCATCTTGTGCTTGAAATACGCTTAATCTAAGCCATCCCTCTTCCCTAGCTAACTGTTCTGCAACTCTACAATATAGAAAGTATTATTACAACTTAATATTCACAGCAAAGTTTTGCAATTTAAAGCATTTTCCTATAGTCAGACCACAATGATTTGTCTTTATAAACTTGCTATCTTCATTAGCTAAGTTAAACAGCTATAATTTATGGTATTAACCTGCTCCCCTCCCTCCCCCCAAC